GTAATAGATTAATAGTCTCATTGTTCTAAGAGTAACGCCCTTATCTTAGATGATACTTAAAACAGAAATATAAGAAAACTAATTTTAAACTTGGTTTTGATAATGTCGATCAAGTTTTTGTTTGATGCTACCATAAATGGAGATATATCGAACTCGGCCGCTAATTCACTCCTCATGGCTAATAATTTTTGGTATAACTTCACGTTGATCTGAGAGGGATCTTTAGTTTCTGGTTTATTAAGAACGTAATCGTTTAATTCTGGTTTTGTATTAAGAAAAGAATCTTTTATTTCCGGTTTTGTGTAGGAGGAATCCTTTGTTTCAGGTTTTGTATTAATTGAAATATTACCAATTTTGATATCGTGCCCATTCCTAATGGGTATTACAATATCATTAATCTCATCATGGTTAAAATCTTCAGGATTTAGATCGGAAAATACGAATTCCTCGCTCTTGGTAATAGGATGGTTTAATTTTTCAACGTTATTGTGAAAAACCTTATTACTTGTTGGGGCTTCTTTTTTTGCTTTGTTATTTTTTTCTTGCCGCGTGATTAAGGCTAACTCTGCATTTGAACTCATTAAGAATTTATTATCCTCGGGATTTAACCCGTAAACTTTGAGCCAAGTTTGAGCTTTTTCGGTTAAACCAATAAGTGCGCCAAAAAATTTCTCTGATAAAACCTTTTCCTCTAAAAAACCCTCTATCAACAATTGTCGAGCTTTATAATAGAATAATAAATTAATTAATCAAAAACGTAGAATCTAATTTTTAAAATCAAATTTTTATAACAAGAAGTTCCAAAATATGGGAGGGGGGGGGGGTGATGTTATAAAGGTAAATCCTACAAAATTCATTTTTTATATAAAAACTAATACTGTTCTTTGCTCAATAAAATTTAAAAATCAACTAAACAGCGAAATTGGAATATCCTAATTTAACAAAAACCGTTATATCAAAATTGTAAAAGGAGTGAACTAAACTGTTGTGATGGTAAATAAAACTTACAATTAGCAGCCGGGGCATAATCAATTTATAAATGTAAGTAACCTGAAACTTACTTAAAACTAATTATCATCTATAAAAAAATTCCTACCAAATATTTTCCACCATTTTTCGCTAAAATAATCACCTATCCCAAAAAGGGAATGAGAGTGAAATTTAGCCAGAAGTCTTTTATTATGAGATCCCCTTAACAAAAATATCGGTATGTTGATGCCATATCTCGAGCCCAATGCAGTTACTGCATTAAATAGATGTATGGCTTCCTGCGTAAAATCGTCCAAACCATCATTGACTAACTTGTTGATTGTTGTTGAATCAGGATTTAAATCTATTTTTAGTACCCGAGCCATTTCATCCGTTTTGTTGAGCCAATCGTTGCTCTCAGGTACTAGGAAAGATGAAGGGCTACCTGTCAGTCTATTTTGGATAACTCTTGATTTTACTGTTCTAAAATAGGGGTTTACATATCATATTCATAATAATTTTATTTCTTTTTTCTTTCTATCTCCTTTATGTCTGAGCAGTGTTTTTAAATCATATTATAATACAATAAATTAGTTTAGAATTAAAATTCATTTTTAAGCCATAAAAAAATTATTTACGTAATTTTGCGACAATTGTCGCAACATATCAATGAATCAATTTTCATATTCGCCATTTCCTTAGATGAATCATTGGAGCTATCGAAATATGACAAAAGTATTTTTCTTCGGCAAGAATTAGATTTGAGATACCTTTCCATTTCATTAATCATCTTTAATTGATGGTTGCGAAATTTTTCGTTCGTGATTGATCTCATCATATTTCTTAATTTTTTAAAAAAAACATATTATTTGAATATAAATTACAAAATCAAAACTTTCTGGCTAGCCGGCCCGCGCCAACAAATTTTTAGATGACTAAGCCCGAATTCAAAGAAAAAACATACAGTAATCTATTTATTCAAAAATATATGAAAATGATTTTACAGTTCTTAATTTTTTTTAAAACTTATCTTATTTTTTTTAAAATTCATTTTCATTTTATGATATTCAATCGTGAAAAAAAAGGAAAAATCGGAAGGAAATATAACATTCATATTTTTCGGGCCACGGGCCGGGTTCAACCTTCGTCCAAAGATTTAAAAATGTGAAATCACATATTAAGATTTGCGGGAACCAGGGTTACATTTATTGTAGTAAAATAAATAATTTTCGATGAGGTTTTCACTAACATGACAAACAATTTTTTGATTAGTTTCTATTTTAGTGTAATAGGCTAGTTTTTTTAGATAGGGATAGGCTAATTTTTTTATATAACCAATATCTCGTTAATAGGAACCCTTTTAACGGCAAAAAAAATAAATTTAAAAAAATACGATTTTGGTTTATTTAGAAAAAATTCATTATCGATCCTCTTATGAAGAATTAATTATAAATCTTATTTTTATATATAAAAAAAAGAGAAATGAAGAGGAATTTAATTGCTTAATTAATTGAAAACTCTAAATTTATCATTATAAGAGGCAAAATGATTTTATTATACTGTAATAATTAAATATGATTTATTATAATACTAGGTTTTATATTTGATCAACAAAGATAGGTCATAAATATAAATAGCGATAAGAATTGTTAACAGAATTTTAGCATTGATGGATCGACAGGAGATAGTTCATTGGAGATTCGACTTTTAGTCACAAAGGGTTTATTAAACAAATTTAATCAATTAATGTGATTTAGAAGAATATCATTTGAACTGTAAAAAATTGTCTAATCGCTATGTTTTAACTATATCTTTTTGTAAATTCATAAAAGAAATATGTGGGCCAGAAAATTCTTCCGAAAGAGCCCTGATAGTGAGCTTTTAATAAAAACAGCATGCTATAAAAAAAATATTACCCGATGTAGATGGAACCTTATTTTAATTTTAGGCGTGCCTTTCTAATGGTCTTCTAGACGAATGAGATTTTTAAATATACCAATCTAATCTTAACTCACTTTAAAACAAGATGAATGACCTATACAATTCCAACAAAAATAAAATAAAATTAAAGCGGTTGATAAAGGGGTCAAGATAGATCAAGCGATTTTAGTCATATTTTATTCTTAAAATAGTGGTTAGACCGAAGATACCTTTAAATGCTTCACATAAACATGTAATGGCAAAGGTGGGGTTGTAAAATATATATGAGCTGCTATTTTATTAATAATGGAGATAAAATGCGTTTAAATTATAAAAAAAAAATTCATATAGTTTTCTTTTTTTTTCTAAGAAAATATTCATGTTATATTTCCTTTTCATTTTTCCGCTTTTTTTGCCTAGAATGAAATAATAAAATGAATTTTAAAAAAGGAGGTGGGAAAATATTTCATTTTCATATCGTCTTTTATAAATTAATAAAATTGATAATAGATAAAATAACCATTTATAAATTATTAAATATATTGTTTGAATTAACGCATAACATTTAAAATAGAGAATAAAATAAATATTCTGAGCTTTGAAATATATTTTGCAATATAAAAAAAATCGAGATGCTCCTAAAAAAAAATGGCCATCGAGTTTGGGGTTTTAAAAAAATAGATGCAGGTTTCCATCTTATACCATCTTGAAAAAAATTAACAAATTTAAATGACCTTTATCTTTTGAATATAATTTGTGTCCCCATTCATTAAAAGCCTTACGCATATTTAAGCCCGTCATCTGATGTAATCCTAAAATAAAATTATAATAATTAGAGTGGACTAATTAGATCCAGATAATGGGAAGGAGCGAGGGAATGTAAACACTATTTTGATAGAATGACCTAAAATAAAAATAAATGAGCATGCTCAAATTTACTCTTTTAAAAAATAAATTATATCCTATTTATTATACGGTGTATTAAAACAACATTTTTAAGAAAAAATAATGCGACAAATTAATTGAAATTATATTTTAGGCTGTGGCCGTGTCGGATAAACTTTATAGAAAAACATCGAATCAGCCCCTTTTTTAAATATAAAAATAAAAACATGGCCAATAACATTTTTGCAAAATTTTGAAATTATCATTAGGTTTCCTAGCTTCTAAATTTTAGATACATGTTTTGGAAACAACCCTAGTAATAAAATATAAATATAAAGGTATAATTCAAAAAAGAATTGAGTAAATTTCACAAGCAAATTCAAACCCCCCTCCCCCTCACTCCCGAATATTGATTATGTCACTGTTTAATTATATAATATAAAAATTATAATTAAATTTTATTGTAAAAAAAATAATATCCTTGAAAATGGTTTGATAAAAATTGGGTTCAAAAAATGAATTGAAAAAAATGAGGTTTCAAAATAATTTAGGCGATTTATTTAGGTTGCAATCAATACCTGTCTTAAAAATTCCAAAGGTTTTAAAACTTTAAAAAAACATAAAATGATAAAGTTTTGAAAATTTAACAAAATATGTTTTTCCCAATTTATATTTCTAATTGATATTTTAGAACAGCAAAAATAAATACATTTAAATGCTCAAATTAGACAGATGGAATTGTTAAAATTTTACAATATTTAAAAAAATATGTGGTTTTCGAAATAGGTAAAAATAAATAAGGTATTAAGATGTGTTAATATTATAATAATATTCAATTATTTTTATATATATTTGAATTTATTTTATTAACATTTTCAAAAAAATAAAAAGGGTTTTAAAATTTCTATTAAATAAAATCGATAAAAAAAAGATTTTGAAAATATTTTTTCAAAAAAAATTCATCTTTTAATAAAAGTAAACCTAATAATAATAGGTAAAAAAAATATAATTATAAAAATAAGATATAATCCCATTACCCTCTGTTTTTTTTTGTTTAAAAATATTTTTTTAGAAATTGATAATTTTTAAAATTAAATTCGCGAAAGAGAAAACAAAATTCTTCAAATTATGAATTATTTTTTATAAAAATATAAATAAATTATAGTTTTTACCTGTAAAAAAAATTGCAAATAATTAATAATGAATTAAATAATCGACGGAAAAAAATGTATCAAGTATATGATAAGGATATAAATGATATTCCTAAGGATAGGCTTAAGGATATTTACGAAATATTCTCGGTTCTGGACAAAGATAAAGATGGATCCATATCGTTGAAGGAGATCAAAGATTTTCTCGTCACGCTCAAACTTGACAGGGAATCGTTAAAAAGATCCGATAGTTCGAATATAGCGAGCGCGCCGCGACAAATAGCCTCAGATAGTGGAGTCAAGCAAACTGACTTGGAGGAAGCGCTAAAAACGTCGGACCAAATGGGAGTGAATATCGCAGAAGATGAAGGGGGCCTGTTAAGCGACCAGGGCACGAATAAAAAGTCGAGTTTAGGGTCTAGAATATTAAATATGATGGACACGGATATGAATGGGTCCATCGATTTCGAAGAATTTGCCAGACTGGCCGATATGGAGCTACCTAAAAATCACAATATAAGGGCCTCTTTTAGCCGCAGAAATACAAGATCCGACGAAAACAGGAGATCAAGAACGGCTGAAGGAATTGGCGCACGGGGAAGTAATTACAACGCCAGTTTTAGTAACTATGATAATATGACTGATAAACGGTTAGGTCTTCAACGGAAACATAGGCTTTCTCGTAGCTTAAACGAACAAACGGCTGCAGTCGGACCACCTTCGATCATAATAAAACCTTCTACGCCAACTAAACGGGTAAACTTCGCCAAAAGTTCCCAATTATATTCGCGTAGCCATAACGACGACACTTTCGTCTCCGAAGAAGTGTTAGTCCCGTTAAAGGAATCTAAATCTGGTGACGATTTGACTACTACTCAAAGGATGGAAGAGGATAAAGACGAAGAAGATGAAGATGAAGAAGAGAAAGAATATTTAGAACTTCTAGCCACCGTATTCTCGGCCTTCGACGCCGATGGGGATGGTTACATAGATAAAACTGAGATCCAGAGGGTTTTGACGGCGCTTGGCCTAAAGGTAACGGAAAAAGGTTTGGTGGATATGATAGCGAAAGCGGACAAGGACGGCAACCAGCGCATAGATTTCGAAGAATTTGTGCGCATGAACAGGGAGAGGGACCGGTTAAGCAAGGAGGAAAAAGATAAAAATTCGTCGAGCCTTGACTTAGATCCAAACATGATGGGCGGGAAAGGGTCGAGTGAAAATGAAGGTACATCTTTGTTGAAAAGAGCCAGGAAATTTTTTGATTGCCGCCGATTTTTCCCACTTTCCCCGAATCAGTAATCGGAGTAAAGTTAGGAGACACTCCAAAAATAAATCTCTTATTTAAGAGACGTGGCAAAAATGGCTTGAGGATATAACGTGAAAAAGGGGGTGTATTACATTATATAAGAACTATGCAAATCCGAAAATTGTACAAATAACTATAAAACTAGAAGTATATTTAATCGTTAATTTTAACTCATATTTTTTTTAAAAAAAATATCTAATATGTAAATATACTATATCTAACATTACAGAATTTCGGTTAATAAATATAATACGTAGTATAATATATCGAATATTGTTTCAATCCTGTGTTATGGTCAAAATCTTGTCATTAGGGAGTAGGATTGGCAAAAATCGTGTTTTTTAAAAAGAATTTTTTTAAAAATATTTTATATTTTTATTAAAGAATTATGGGCTTAGATTGTAAATTATCGTTTTTTAAAATTTCAATTTAATATTATCTTGCAAGTAAAGGACTAATGCTTAAGGGAACAAATCAGGAAATTATTAAAAAATTAAATAATGATATGTTGTAATTTGATATTTTTTTAAAAGAGCCGATTGTATATATTAGTTATTTTTAAAAAAATTTAACTATCAATTGCTTGCTAAAATAAATTTATTGGAGAATTTTCTGAATCAAATAAAGATGCCAAATACAATTTAATTTTTTGAAACTAAAATTAGCAATTGCTATTTCTCAACTAGTTAAAAATTAGCCCAATTAAAACTCTTAATTAGTGTTGTTAAAAGGCTCGTTTTGAGCCAAATTTTAAAAACGGCTAACTCAATATTTTAGCCCAAAAAATATGTAAGCCTCAAGATTTCGACAATATATGTCTGGACCTATGTTCCTTCTATGATCAAAATTTTCAGACTTGGGTAATATTTATATAGATGAAGTATTGAGTTAGCCGTTTTTAAAACGAGCCGTTTAACAACACTACTCTTAATGGTTAGAAGAATTTGAAAAAATTCTTCACCACTTTACATGCTACTAAAAAAAATAAGTAGTCTTTCATCCTTTGTAAACTATATAATTCTTGTGAACTTCTTATCCTCTTTTTAAACCCGAAATATCATTCAAATTTAACAACCAATATGGAATAAGAGGGGGGGGGGGGTCGCTATGTATCCAAACATTGACATTTTATCTATCTTGGTAAAGTTTCAGCAAGATCAGAGCCAATTACTAAAATTATGTTTTCGGATTAAGTTAATAAAATAAATACAATTTAATAGTGGGTAGCCCAAGGAAATTTGATGAAGGATGTAAATATTCTAAAAATAATAAAACGAATATTTACTGCACCCTCATCATCCATTTCAGCCTATAGAATATTCTCATCGTTGGAGTTGTTCACTCGAAGCTTAGAAATCGTTTAGAGAAATGACAAGAAAATCAGGTTTTTTGCTTAAGCAATTAAATTCTAATAGATGACTTGAGATTTTTAATATATGTTTTTTCTTAATTTTACATCTAATTTATTATATTTTTTTATTAGAAAGAAATAAAAAAAATTTTTAAATATGGGTAGATTTTTAACGTTTTATATTCACTATTGCGATTAGGATCAGCTTCACTATTGCGATTAGGATCAGCAGTTATTTTTCTACTATGTCAAAAATTGAATCTAACAAGTGGTGATTACTAGCACAATTTGGTTATTTATTTAAAATTTTGTTTATCTAAGTCCTTATCTCTCATTATTTAATCCACCATTTACATAGCCCATCCCTCTTTCCATCATTTTTTTAAAAAATTTAAAATGAATTTGCCAACATAATGGCAACTAAGTTTGTTTTATAAATCGCATCCCAAACCTGATAAAAGTTGAATAATAACCATTTAATAAAATCAGAGACTTGCAGGCCAGGTTCTAAGCCCCGCCCGAGCCGTATTTTATTTTTTTTATTTACCCGGGCCGGGCCTGAAAACTTTTTTAAAAAAATATCCAGGCTGGGTATATTTCAAAACCAAATATTTGAAATCGTCATTATTAGCTGTAAAAATAAAACATAAGTACAAATGGTACCTCTGCAGGTCTCTGAATAAAATAAAGCGATGACATTATATAATTAAAACATATCACAACTTTTGTTATATGATATAAAATATATCATAATATTACCACATATCACATATAAATGTAACCTATCTATCACACCCGTATTGTCGCTAAATTTGACCTATTAAGGTTATCATTTTTTTAAAAAAAACTATTATAAAAAATTATTTATTTCGCGTATATTTTGACCAATTTAACACCAAATCCATAAATCAACAGATTTTAAAAAAAAATAAATAAAGTTACATATTTATGGATTTTTTTTAATTATCATTTGTGGTTTATAAATTATTGATATATCATATAATATAATAACTAGTAAAGTTTAAAAAAAACTAGGATAGGAATATTCTATAAACTAATGTTGTGCATAATAAAAGTATCGTTTTTGAATAGTAAAAAGATAAATAAAGTCCTTTATAGGTAATTAATTAAATACGTTAAATATAATACTTTTTATTGGACAAGGTTATATTTTATATTTATCTATCTTTAAAAATAAAGTCAAAAGTCCACAATAGGCGGATTAGTCATAAACTTTTTTCAAGAGGGGAGGGGGGAGCATATATTATTTTATTGATGAGGTTCTCAAATAAAATGTTTTGGTTATTGTTGAAAAAAAGCTTAGTCGTAGGGAGGGGGGGGGGGCTATGAGAACAAGTATAATTTGAGCCCCTTGGTTAAAACGCTCATATCCTAGACGAAAATTCCGAACTAAATAAGTTAAATTTAGAAAGTCTTGTTTATTTTTAGCCATAATAATTAAACATTGGATAAATTTCAAATAACTCAAAATTTATCGATGAAAGACATAATTTATAATATTTTTTCAACGGGCATAATGTCAATTTGGCCATATCCTATATGTGCTAGCCTTTAGTTTTTTTTATATAAATTCAACTGGTCTCTATAATTTTGAGATTTTATTTTAAGTTTAAGAAATTACACATTAGCTTCATATTTTCTTAAGGTATAGGTGAAAAAAATCCAATATTGAATGTCTCAAGATTGAGTGCCTTTTCCTCAAAGTTGTGCCACATCATACAAGTAAAATATAAAATTTTATTTTTAATTTGTTGTTTTATTTTTATTTTCAAATTTCTGAATTATATAACAATTTTTAATTTATGTTTATTGATCTTATTAATTAATACAAAGGATATATATATTTTATGTATAATTTAAATATGTATATAATATATGTTTGAGTTTATAAATATAGGGGAAAGGTATAAGCATGACAAATAAAACTCTACTCTTGGAAATTTGGATAAGACTGTTTTAAATTGTAGAATTCAGAGATTACCAGTTAAGCTCCTTACCTTCTTCCCGATGATGTAAATCAGTGCTAATCTTTGCGACTCATATGAATTAGCTTAAGGTTTCAGTAGGGATGCACCGACACCCCTTTTTAGAGACCGATCCGATCCAATATTGATGATATTAATTTGATATCGGTTGATAAACGATCCGATATTATATCTGATTTTGTATTCTGCAAACATACTTATCGTTTTAATTTTTAATGCATATATCTAGTGTTGCAAAATCGTTCCATTTGAGTCGATTTTTAATAACCCCACTCATTATTTAATCCAGAAAAATATTGTCATCTATGAGCAAAATCTTCAAGGGTTAGGTAATATTTTTTTGGCTAAAATATTGAGTTAGCCGTTTTTAAAAATCGGCTCAAGAAGCGATTTTGCATCACTTTCTACTCATCTCATGCATTTTTTAATATTAACTACACCATAACATAAGTCATTTAAATATATTATAAATGAATCTAAAAATTTTTAATGATAAATCACTTATTTATATAATAACATTAATTTATTTACATGATAGAAATATATTATCAAATTTGAAAAAAAAAATTAAATAAAGGCGCCATTTTATCGGATTGGAAAATTTTATTAGATTGGCCGATAACCGATATTTAAAAAGGATAAAATCCCTAGTTCCAGCTATAACTGTGCCAAAAAGGTAGTTAAAAGAAGTTAAAGTATTTATTTTGTGATTGATCTCTTGCTGTAAAACAGGGTTTACGTTAAGAATTGGATGAAAAATATCAACATAGAAAATCCCATGAAAATGTTTTCCGATGTCCCAATCGGTAAGTGCAACATCGTCATATTTTATGGTAGAGAAAAAAAGATTGAAGAGTTTCGAAACCCTACTGATGTAAGATATTTTTAAAATGAATCTTAGACGTTCTAATGGAACAAGTGACGATCTAATTTTTTTGAACTCGCGAGGCTATAGCCGATCGAATATCTACTACATACTCGTAACTCCGGAGATATTCAGCTATCAACCTAATCATGATCTGACATCGACCTTGAAATCTTCATTGATGAATAAAAAATGTCTACCGAGGAGCGCATTCATAGGCATTTTTTTAAATTTGGGTGGCTCTTGGTAGTTAAAAATCTGACATCAGTGCTCGAAGATAAGTGGTCAAGGTCTCCTTGCATTGCAAACCATAAAATATTTTATAGGTAAGATTGAAAGGAAAGTGTGTATTTAAAAGAATCATATCTGGCCAAGATTTGATGAAACTTATTAACCCAGGCCAAGATTTGATGAAACTTATTAACCCAGAAATGATAAAGCTTGAGAAAGCGATAATGACCTAGACGAGCCGATTTAATACTCAATATTTTATTTAGAAAAATATTATGCAAGCCTGAAGATTTTATTCATAGATGCCTCAAAGGTACGAACATCTATTAGCAAAATCTCAAAGCTTAAGCAATATTTTTCTATCTAAAATATTGAGTTAACAGTTTTAAAAATCCCCACAAATCGAGCCGTTTAATAACACCACTTTAAATTCTCCTGCGACTGCGACAATGAACAAAAAACTCCTATGAAGGTCACCCCCGATTGCATCTCCAATAAAGAAACTCTTCATATCCCCCTTCAGTTTTAGAGGAACCTGTTGATCAGAGGATTAGTGAAAGGCACGAAAACAATTTTATATTCAATTTTTTTCGAACGCAGCAAGAATTCCGATATTTATAATAAATGATTATAT